TGAGGACTCTATATTTATACTTGTAAATTAAAAATTACAAAAATAATTATAAGTTAATATTATAACCCCCTTCCCCCCCCCCCGACAGAAATCCACAACCTTCTAGGAAGTACATATATCTAAAAAGAAACTGAAAATTTAATCATTGGTAGGAAGTTTGCCCCTCTAAATCAGTTAAGGGGAACCTATCCTAACCATATGTAATCTGAACAGAATCTTGTGACTCCTGGTTTGGAGGAAAGTGTCTTAGGAAAATATTCTGCTTGCAGCCACCGTTACAGAAGGTTTCAGTTGCAAAAGCAACACCTGCTTTGTGGGACGCCCAGCATGGAAAATAACTGCTGTGCTCACCATTCATTATACTTATGCAAGTACTTGAGGCAGAGGAATCCGTAATCAAAAATCTCTGCAGTGCTGTTCATCAAAGTAACTGCTAAGGAAAATATGCATTCAGCAGTGTGGCAAATATGTTTGTGAAAGCAATTCCTCACGGAAGTGAATTAAGGGCAGCGACTAATGGTACATTTGTTTACCATGTTGTAATGCACAACCACAGCTTTCTATTAACAGACTGTTTTAACTAAAATCCTGTATGTCAAACTACGGTGCACATAATAAAGACAGATGCTCTGGTTACTAATGTAGTTGCAATCTTTTATCATGAAAGATTTGAAAAGCAACATGATTTCATATCTCTGTTCCTGTTTCCAACAGAAAAAATATTAAGTTGATAGCTATAATAATTCCCTACTTTAAATTCTGTGAGGGAGTGAAAATAAAAATGTTGTTCACCTTTGTGTCAGGTAAAACTTCTATTATACTGTGTGGAGAAATATGGAAGGCCCCTGGCAAATACAGTTTATAGCAAGAAGTGAATGGATTTTGTGCTAAGTACTTGTAAACTAAAAACGGGGGGGGAAACAGTATTTTTTTGCAGAAAAATAAGCAATCCCCCAAAACGGGGTTTTAACTGAAGTGAGGTGTGCAACCCATAGTGTCCAATCTGTAGTGCAACCAATTGGTAACAGACATATCCAGACAACTCCATTATTATCCAAGCATACAAATATCTCAATATTTATGCTGTCAGAGCCGTGTAATTTAAATCATTTTGTTTGATTTTTGTTATCATGAATATCAGCACTTTCTCAACATAAAATTCACCACAAGTAATATTCAAGGGCTTTCTTGGATTCCAGTAGCAGACGAGGTGCTGAAGCTTTTTCCAGCTCTCAAATTTTACCACTAAGATTTGGCCCCAATAGCAATTGTATTCTTTGATTATCCCTTTGATGAAATCTGGCACTGTTTCTGCACAGTTCTCTCTGTACGACTACACCATAAAACCTATAGAAAACCAAAACATCAGCATGAAAGGCTTTTTATGAGACTCAGAGATCTGAAGAAACAACCAACTCAGTTTCAGAAATACATCCACTCTTTCTATGATAATTGTATTGCTTACCATGAAAATGTAAGACACATTTCATTGAACTGCATATATTATATTCACCTTGGTAGACAAGATCCCTGCTTGGAAAGAAGTAGCAAATTGCAAACTCAATGAAACAGAGTTATTTTATGAACTGATATGAGTAATGAAATATTCTGTGCAGCACAGGATAGCAGAAGGCAAAAAGGGGAAAAACCTCAGCAGCTGAATGATGGATCGAAATTTGGAAATAGGGTCATTACTTTCAAAACATTTTCCTTCTAGTACAATTTACCATGCGCCTAACAGAGCAAATGCAGCTTTGTTTTCTCATGATGCCTGGACAGATGAGAGAAACTAAGTGGAATTGGCAACTCTAAAACATAGCTTATCAAGATCAACTGTAATCACAGATGTGCTAAATTCTACAATATGCTCTTTAAAATAATAGAATATTTTTCAAAAGTATCTTTCTTCAGGAAAGTACTTATCAGCTGACTAGTCTAGAACGGTTCTCAACTATTTTGTAATGTTTTGGGGGAGTGACTCTATACTCAAATGAAAGTAAAATCTGACTATCTCAGTTTGTAGTAGTTGTTTTATAATTTTTGCCCAGAACTCTGGGGAAATTGGACTACAGATGAATATTCGTTTTTACTCCTGGAAATCAAGCCACCCAATACTGCTTCCGAAATGAATAGCCCAAGGCTACTAATAACCAGCTAAACAGAAATCAAGAGAGCAAGTTTGGTGTAGCGGTTAAGGCACCCGGCTAGAAACCTGGAGACCATGAGTTCTAGTTCCGCCTTACGCAGGAAGCCAGGTGACCTTGGGCCAATCACTTTCTTTCAGCCCTAGGAAGGAGACAATGGCAAAATACTTCTGAGGAACCTTGCCAAGAAAAGTGCAGGGATTTGTCCAGGCAGTCTCCAGGAGTCAAAAGCTGACTCGAAGGCACAATAAATAAAACAGAGATCAACCCGTGTTCAACCGGATTTAGTCCTAAATCCCAAATATAGTCTGAACGGGTGTAGATGTACAGCCTCATTGGGAGCGTTCTCTTTAACGGGCTCGGCCTGCGCTTTGCCTCGTCTAACATTAAAAGCCTTTGCTGCTCCTTCTCCCTCTTTCCTGGCAGGAACCTTTGCGCTGGGTTACGTAAACGGGCGGAGGGTGTTACGCGTTGCTCGTGGCCAACGCAGACGGGCAGGGGCAGCATGGCAGCGGGGCATCTGCAGCAGTTCTGGGGGGCGGCGGGGCTGAGCCTGTCCCGCGGAGTGCTGATGAGCCGCTTTGCGACTCTTCGGCCTCTTGGCCTTTTGGTCCCACCGCGGCCTCGGCCGCTAGTGATCGGGGTCCGTGGGCTTGCGGACGAGGGTGGCCTGGGAACGAACCCTTTCTTCGAGAAATACCGAACTAAGATCCAGGAACTTCGCAGGTATAAGACCGCGCCAAGGAGCGGGCGGCTTTTTCTCTCGCTTAATCCTTTTTGGGAAGAACTGGGGATCTGAGAGTAACCTTGAAGTGGCAACCCTAGGAACGCCCTTAGCCAGCCTCTCTCTGCCCGCCTTTCCGTGCCCGCCTCCAAGGAAGGGTCTGGGGAGCTCGCATTCGGGTAAACGGGCCTAGGATCGAGCTGTCCCACACCCGGTTTTGCCACAGCTTCCTTTAAGCGTTCACTTCAAGCCTTATTTGCATGCACTCAAGCTCTACTGGTTTGGGAGCTGCTAAAAATACGAAGTAGTTTTGTTTCACGAGCCTTCTCCAATTGGAGCTGTTCGCTCACGGATATTCAGGGTAAACATGTCCAGGTTGCTCTCCTCCTGCCCTGCCTTAATGAGTTACCAAGCTAAAGAATAATAAGGAGGTCATACACTTTTGGTTTGAGGTGGGACTAAAGTATGATATGTGTTTAGTAGTTATAAACTGTTCTAACTTTGATTCAGATCCAATCCAGATCTTTTTGAATCTCGCATGGAGCAAAAGAATGATTTGAAAAAGCAGCCAGTGGGATTCTCAAAACAGGCAGAGTTTGTCAGATGCATGGAGGAACAGGCAAGGCTAATATCAAATATTTAATGTTTAGTATCTAATCCAGTAAATATTTTATTAACTGTCAGAAATCAGGATTAGAAAATACTTTTGATATATGAAAAGAATCCTGACTGTTGTTTCCACTCCTGTGTGTGCCTGTGTATTTATGATTATGCATGTGTTTCAACTTTACAAAGATAGATTAATGTCTTTTTACTAAATTGTACTAAATATTCCTTTGCATTGAACAGAAGCCTTTATGGTCACAACTAGATCTTTTGTCCCATATTTGTTAAAAGAGTGGTTCTAAAAAGGAGCCTTTCTTTTGCCAAGAGGACCATTAATTAAGCTGAAATTTGTTTGGACATTCAGGGGTAAGATCTATCTTATCCTTTAGCTTTTTGTATGCATATTTAATATGTACAGTGGGGCAAAAAAGTATTTAGTCAGCCACCAATTGTGCAAGTTCTCCCACTTAAAAAGATGAGAGAGGCCTGTAATTTTCATCATAGGTATACCTCAACTATGAGAGACAAAATGGGGAAAAAAATCCAGAAAATCACATTGTCTGAATTTTAAAGAATTTATTTGCAAATCATGGTGGAAAATAAGTATTTGGTCAATATCAAAAGTTCATCTCAATACTTTGTTAAATATCCTTTGTTGGCAATGACAGAGGTCAAACGTTTTCTGTAAGTCTTCACAAGGTTTTCACACACCGTTGCTGGTA